AACTCTTTACCGCACACCTTCATCATTTGGTCTCAAATATCATCTCAAATATGTTTTATTTACCCCTCCTAACTCGATCCACCTTGTCAAATAACCCGATATGCGATCTACAAACTGAGTGCAAGTTTCGGCATACTCCAACCTAGCTGATCTAAACATAATTCTAAAGCCTTCCTTGCTCAACAGGTACCTATTTAGTAAGGTCTTTTTTACTTCTTTGTAATCCTTAGCACTAGCACTAGGCATTCGTGTGAACGCATCTTAAGCCCTACCTGTGAGTAACGCACTAAGAGATGTGGCCCAATCTTCCTCCCGTCATTTCATAGCTACTGCAAACCTTTCAAATCGTTTAAGATAAGCATCTAACTCGTCCCTACCATCATTAAAAGGAGGAAGTTTAGGTAACTTAGAGGGAATATGCTGCGTTGCTACTGGGCTTCTCGCTTCAGCGCTTTCAAAACGCTGCTCTTGCTCTAACTCTTTTTGTTTTAACTCATATTCTTTCATAAATTTTTCATGTGCTCTGCAATTATTATGCTCTTCACGTTCCTCAAAAAGCCGCTGACGCTCAGCATTCACTTTTTCACGCTCCTTTATAAAATCTAAAAGCTTTTCCCCGTCAAGCCCGAATCCTCTACCGATTTCCATAATTCTTCCAACTCCATTTTTTCCATATCCCCATTTTCCATATTGAACAAACATGAAGAATTCACCTTAACTGTCACGTTACCCTCAACAATATTATATAACAAGACTTAATATAAATCAACAGATATAATTAGAGTTTGTAACAAATAAAAATGCTTACAATCAAGATGTGCACAGGCGAAGAATCCCCTACATGGGGTTCTTTCCACCTAAATGTGTTTTCCCGGATGACCCCCCCATTGTCACAAGCCAGGTTCCCCGTGTTATTCCCCCTTTAAACGGATCACATCTGAATGAGCAAGTCAAAAGGCAAACGTACATATTAATGCAAAACAATTTATTATGAATCAGGACCAACCCCCCCGAACAACATACATCAACCCACACGACCCAATGCTTAACTATAAACTTGACCCTAAATCAGCGAATCCCAGCCCCCTCTTGCGCCACCACTGGTAAATACTAGTGTTTAATATTATCTACATACATGTACATAGGATTACTGTTTTTTCTAATTTCAGCCTTTAACACGTATATGATGTCTACCTATTTCGATTAAGTGATAAGCCTACCAAAAGTTTACAAACTCCAGTGTTACGTTGACGCAGTCTCGCAACGACGCCATAATAATCAGTGGCAGATGCAAGTGAGGCCGAGCCGACCCTAATTTTTTTTAAATTATTTTTTAAAAATGGAAAAAAAAACAAAGGAAAATTATAATTAGAATTTAGGACTGAGAGTGCCATTTACAGCAATCTAGAGGTGTCATGATCATAAATTTTCTTTCCTCAGCCCCAACCATGGTGGGGCTGAGGTGATCTACTTTCCCAACGTGCAAGTCCCTCCCTGTCCCCCCTCTAATTTGCTTTCCTGGAGCCGGCACTGATAATGATAAATTAAGTAAATCACCTTTATGTTTGTGAAATCAAAATACTAACTAATGTTCTGTGTGCTCCCTATCTCCCTAGTCCTGTTTGATCGTAAATTAGACGGTATTATTTCCACTCACAATAATTTATCGCAATATTACTAATACACAAAAGTGAAATTCAAATAGAGGAGATTTATTTATTGATTTATTTTAAAAGTACTGTACATGCAAAAAGACTAAATTTAAATGACTGTTTTAAGTTTATCTTATTTGTTTTTCATAGTTCATTTTGAATACGTTACAAGCTAATCAGTAGATAATAAATCATTATTTTTATGAATGTTAGTTTGCACGAAATATATAAGCGGGCATAATTATGACTAAAAAGGATAATTTTAAAAACTTTTTATGATGAGTATTTAAGTGGCCGGCCCACCATCACTATTTTTTTTTTTTTTTATTTAAAAGTGGAGAAAAATTAAAATTATATTCAAATTCAGTCTGAGAGTGCCATTTCCGACCAAATGGTGGTGCCATAATCATAAATTTTCTTACCTCAGCCCCAATCATGGTGGGGCTGAGGTGGTAGCCCAGCTACACTCTCCATCTGGGCCCAGCTCTATTTCAAATTACTAGATCCGCCACTGGATATTTTGAAAATTTCGTATGGAAGTTAATGTTAATTGCATTGCTTAAAATCAATTAAAAGGCTACATTCGCCAGAGCTTCCGGGGCTTCGCCCCCTGGTCCCCAACCATTGCTTGGGCCTATGGCCTAAGGCTTTATTTTTCATCTTGTTCCCCCCCACTTTCAGCCACGGATCGACGCCCTTGGATTTATCCATTTCATGTTAATTACTGTATGATTATTCATGTTGTTTTTCATTTACTTTATTTTACCTGAAATATAATTTGTTATATTGTCCATGTTTATGATAGTATATTTTTTTATAATAAAATAATAGATACATAACTCTCATATTATATTATTGTAATAGGCATATTTAATATTATCAGTATTTTCAACACATGTTCACGGTGGCATTGTCAAGCATTCTTAAGCTGACTTGTACCAAATAAATACTCTCTTATCTGGAATACAGTCTTCCGCTTAGCAACCGCATGATTTACTAAAAGAAGGTATTAAAAACTAGAAATTGCAAGTTGCAAGTGAAGTGCTGCGAAGTACAACTGCATATAAATGTTGTTCGAACAAAATTATTTATGCGAGTCAAGTGAAAATAATGAATAATAAAAATATAACAAATAATATGAGACACGAGATATTAGAACAGTTCTCATTGGGTAACAAAGTCGTAATTTTTCATTTTTGTCAAATGGTGTCTATAGTGGTGAATTATGGTTTAGGTTTTTTTTAATAAAGTTTAAAAAAATTTTATGTATGTGGAAAATGTAGTTGATTACCAAAGGTTATTTTTATTTTGAAAACTGAATTGTCTAGGAAGTGTACATTTTTTTATTGTGCAAGTTTCCAAGGGCAGGTTTTCTAGGGGCGAGTTGGAGAGGTATCGGCTGAGATTTGTGGAGTACAATTCAAAAAACAACTATAGGTCTAATAATGAATTATTGTGATGTTAAATAGACAATGTTAGTTATCAAGGAGCGACGTTGTTTTTCATTGGGACCTTCGTCCCTTCAAGGCTAGGTCTATACCATCCTAGCTAGTCTAGGCCTAGAGTAGGATAAGGCTAGCGCGACATGCGGACGTTGGTACGTGTTGGTTAGTCTACAAACGTTGCCTAAAGTAATTGATTTTACCTGGCAGAACGAAAGAAGGAAACTCCGCTTTTTACTCGTTTTAGGCCCTTGTTTTTTGACAAACAATGACCTTTCAGAGATCAAATTGCTGTCAAGAATATGAATTGGCTGCTTCGCAGCAATAACATACCTGTACATTTTTATTTTGACTATAGAACACAATCTGATTAAGCTTACCAAACTTTTTCTACTAGAGCAGGCCTCAGCATGTGGCGTAGGGTTTTGACATGGAAGGGAGCTGATGGGGGTGGGACAGTAGGAGAAATCAGTGATTAGGTGAGGGGATCGGTGATTATAGGTTAGGGGAGCTCGAAAAATTAGGTAACTTGAGGTGATTGTTAACTACTTGAGCATGATTTGTGGGGTGGGGCACGACTGGGGGTGTGCAAGTATTTTTTATTGGTGGGGGGTGCTCTCCGAGCACATCCTAGATATGCCAATACCTTGCATACCATGCAGTTTACCCTGTGGTCCGCCACTGACTGTATTGCACTTGGCAGGCTTTGGTGTCATTATTAGATGTACACAAGGTAGCAAGGTTTTCTAGGACCGTCTGCAGGATATCTTGCGAAGGATTTGATACTGAAGTAAAACTTCCAATTGTTCAGTCATTGACGTATTTTCATCTATTATCAGCATATTGACCATTACATGAAAGAGCTAGGGGCCCAATATGGTCCTTTGTGGAACTCCACATGTTATGGTCTTTGAAGTAGACAGATTCCCCTTCCTTTTTACTCTCTAAGACGTGCCCTGTAGAAAACTACAAATGAGATAACCGAGGGCCTGATGTTACAAGCAACCAACTTCTTCACAACAATAGTAATGTATGGTTGATATGGTCTAAAGCCTTAGTGAAGTTCACTGCACATATGGTCGTTACCTGTCCCAGTTTATCCAGCCCCTTATGAAGAAAATTCATCATCTGTACAAGGTAGTGGCTAGTGGAAGCTTTTTTAATATTTCCGAATTGTTGTCTGTCCAATTGATTTGCGAAGTCTGCTGTAATCTATCAAGCATTGAATTTCTCAAGAATATGTGTGGAAAGAGTTGTCAGCAATATTTCATCTGGTGAACTGCAGTAATAATCAACTCTTTCCTTTATAAAATGACTTGTTTCCGTTTACGTATTGATATTTTTTGCAATTTAAATTAAAGTGGGGGTATTGAGTGAATGAAATTTAAAATGTGGGACATGGCAGTAATAATCGACTCTTCCCTTTATAAAATGACTTGTTTCCGTTCACGTATTGATATTTTTTGCATTTAAATTAAAGTGGAGGTATTGAGAATATGAAAATATTCTGATACATATTCTAATATTGTGATTGTACAGTTAGAATGATTTTTGGACAGAATGTTTTTAGGTTTGAAGTTTACAATGTGTATATAGCCTACTAATATCTTTGTTGTATGTGCTAATATTGTATGTTTAATTACCCAGGAAGAAAAATTTCATGTATTTTTATATATGATTGAATAAATCAAACCTTGAACCTTAAACCTTGAGTAAATGAAATTTAAAATGTGGGACATGGGCCACTCTGCATCGTGTCACACCATGAATATGTTCCAAAAGTGGCAATGCTTGTATCCACACTATAGAATTTTTGGACATTAGCAAGGGGCAGTTATAAAACAATAGGGTTCAGTGTAAATTTATTTATATGTGAATAATGCTATGTTTTCTTATTGTTGTTTAGATCTTTCATATCCAACATTAGTTACTAAAAATCTGACGTTGAAGGAGGGTGATGCTGCCACCTTTATGTGCGTATCAGAAGGAAACCCAGAACCCAGCATCACATGGTTGAAAGATGACAAAGATCTTAATGTACCTTCTGAAACATCATTGGTGCTAAATATGGTGACTAAAAGTGATGAGGGAAATTATAAATGCAGAGCTGAAAATAATGTATCAACTGGAGCTAATGGAAAACTAAGTCGAGAGACTGCAACCCTAACAGTGATATGTAAGTATTGCTACATTTTAATGGAAAAGTACATTTAACTACTACTAACTTGTATAATATAACTGTTGCCATGACTGATGTTTATTAGTAGAATTGCTGAACTTGAGAAAACAGTCAATCAACTAAGCATTAAGGTGAATAATGATCCAAATAAGAAAGTAGATATTGAACCAGAAATCGTAAGTGCCATCCCTACATCAAACCGATTTGCTGTCCTTAATGAAACTAACCTAGACTACACTGAACCGTCTCAAAATAAAAAGGAACTAAATGTTGAACAATCCTCAGAGGTATGCGATAGTCAACAGAAGGATAAAATATTTCCCCACACAAAGGCAGAACCATCACTCAAGCATAATCTTTTAATTGGTGATTCCATGTTGAAGCATGTGAAGCACAGAGGTCTACTAAACACAAGTGTAAGAACCCTGCGTGGTGCCACAGTCAAACGAGTTGCTCACAACATTCAGAACATGGACCTCAGTACTGTGACAAATGTCATAATTCATGCTGGAACAAACGATTGTAGCAGTCTAGACTTTAACTTAAACAATCTACAACAAGAGTACCACAAATTGGTCTGTGATCTTCGAGCTAGAATACATGGTAAAGTGTAAGTATCGGGAATATGCCAGCGACTGGATGACCCACAACTCAACGTTAAAGTACTGCAAACAAATGAACGATTAAAATCTGCCTTTAAGGATAATTTCATCGACAATTCCAAAGCATTTCTGTCATCATGTGGTCTTGATACCTCTAAGTACAGCTATGATGGTCTACACCTAAACAAGTATGGAACATCTGCACTTCTTAAAAGCCTAAACTCAACCATTCAGATCTTGCCACCAAGTAAATGGAACACTGAAAATCGGAGGCCAACATCTAGTTCCTGTCATTTCTGCGGTGAAACTGGACATGTTCAGCGTGTGTGTCGTCATGGCAAACCTGTTTTATGTTATTTATGTCAATGTACTGGCCACAAAGAGAAGTTTTGTCCTCAGCAACAACAACAATGAGAAGAAGGCGAGGAAGTCAATGCCGAAATATGCAACAAGAACTCTGAACAGCAGAACAGGATGATAAAATTTATCAGGAAAAATCACAGATTTATACTTTGAACAATACCAACTTTGTTACTGATTTAAGCTCAAATTGTCATGATATTTTAACACCAAACTGTAAAATTTTTAATGATAACAAAGGAATCTGTTTTTTAGGCTTAAACATTGTGTCTCTGCCAGCTAATTTTGATGAATTCAGAAATTTAATTTTAAATAACAATATTGATGTTATAGCACTTAATGAAACACGTTTAGATAAAGAAATTAAGGATAATGCAGTATGATCACTGTAAACACCTAGGGGTAATCATAGATAAAAATCTAACTTGGAATAAACAAATTGATAATGTAATAAACAAAGTTCTTCCTGGATTATACTACCTTAGGAAAAGTAATTATATCTTGCCCCCCAAACATACAGTCAATGCTGTACAAGTCAATAATTGCACCACATTTTAATTATTGCAATGTTGTGTGGGGACGATGCAATCAAACTTTACAAAATAAAATTCAAATATTACAAAATAGGGCTGCTAAAATTATTACAAAGGTCGCAAGATATGATTCAAGTTCAGAAGCACTCACTAACTTAAACTGGAATAATTTAAACACCAAACTGTATCAAGATGAAGCTATAACCATGTTTAAAATAATGAATTCTCAAATGCCAACATATTTAAAAAACAAATTTCAAGAGCACAATAAAACATACATGACCAGGTCTAAGGACATACTTAAGGTACCCAAACCCAGCACAGAATATAAGAAAAGAAGTTTTTCCTATCAGGGAGCCGTTGTCTGGAATAACCTAAACCTCAATATGAGAATGGCCTCAAATGTTCAAACTTTTAAAAAACTATTAACAAATAATTGAAAGTTACTTGCATAAGATAATACAGTAATAGTTTTATTTTGGTTTCTTTTACTTCTTTATTTCTGTTTGTCTTGTAAATGTTTTTGTAATTTAAATTTTGTTATTATATACTTCAGAAACGGCCTTGTGAAAAACACATTTAATTTGTGATCAAGTTTTCCGTTCTCAAATAAAGTCATTATTATTATTATTATTATTATCTTATGGAGGCACACATAGTGGTCAAATCAATTATAGCATTTTAGCTATGAAAGTCAAGAAAGGTGTTGTGCCTGTCTATACTACACGTCTTATCAGCACAGCAAAGTTAAGAGTGTTGTATAATGTGTTTGACTTAAAAATAAATAAATAAATAAGTCAAAAAAAAAAATTTTGAAATCACATTAATTGTAAATTTCATTAACATAATACAAATAAGTAAAATGCAAACTCATAAGTATCAAAATACATGCTAACATGTTGGGATATAATACAAATAAATATGCAAAAGTAAAAATATAAGTACTGTAATCTTAAAAAACTTCACAGTAAAAAATTACTTCAGAAACTAAAACAAAAAAAAAAAAACAAAAAAAAAAACTTAATACTTCAAGTAACAATGTAATTTTTAAACATTGGTTTTGTATTAGTTGATTGTTTATTAATCTTTTAAAATATTTATGTTATGGCAGTTATTGCATTAGGATTTATGGCTATGTCCTCACACGGCTGCTAACGGTTATGAGGATCCGGATCCTACTAACCGTTAGCTGCTGTGCGTCCATCAGAGAAAATCCCGATCCGGATACCAAAAATATGATGATCGAATCACTGGCCAATAAGAAACTGGAAATTGTAAACGCGTACGTGTGATTGGTTGATGATAGAAACATGCTCAACTTGCTAACCGATAGCGCTTGCTAACTGTTAGTGGTATCCGGATACCGCTAACGGTTAGCGCTAACTGATCGTGCGTTCACACGCAGGTGCTAACGGTTAGCTCCCAATCCGGATACTAGGACTCTTGTGAGAACCAAGCTTTAATCATTTAGGCTATTCCAGATATTTGATAGGAGAAACTTCTTTTCTTATATTCTGTTTTTGGTTTATAAATACTTAAAATGTCTTTAGACCTAGTGTTATATATTTGTTCACATTCATTAAATCTGTTTCTTAAAGTAGGATGGTGTTAAGTTATTCATTATTTTGTACATTGTTACTGCTTTGCTGTAATATTGTTTTTTTCTCCAAATTAAACCAGTTTAAGTCTTTTAGTACAAGAAAAATACATCTGAGGGTTGAAAAAATTGCAACAGAATTTTTTTTTGCACAGTGCATTTTCTTAAGGTCCCTGTATGTACATATTAAAAGTCTAGAAATATCTACATAGGGGAAGGGCGTTTTTTTTCAAAATGGCCGCCAAAATGTCTAATTTTAACCAAAAATGGGAAAAAAAACTTGATCTTTTCAACATACAGTATTTCAGCATATTTTTTTTTCTAAAATATATTTACAAATCCTGAAATTGTTCTGATGCATACAGGTACACTTATTTGATGTGGGTATCATTAATTTCAATATGGTTGCCACAAATATACGACAACATTGGTGAATGCGTAATACGCCAGGCAGCTATATTGCCATATGGATGTTTCTGACAAAATCACCAATTTGTTACGTGCTCCCTATGGTCATAGCATTTAATTTTTAATAGAAACCATTTTATCGGAGGTCATTATGGCAGCCATATTAGAGTTTAAAATGGCAACATTATAAAACCTATGTTTATCCACAGTAATAAAAAAATAAAATAAAAGTAAATGAGAAAAAGACACAAGAAATGCTTATTAGTTTTAAACATGATGAATCTGATCCCCCTCCCCTAAAAGTAAATGGTTTCGATATCATATGTGTTACACAAACTAAGTTGTTAGGGATTATAGTTCAGGATGGTCAGGTAACGTCCATGATTTCGAAATGCAACACCAGAATTTATTTTCTTAAACAATTACGCAGAAATGGTCTTTAGAGCAACAGCAATCAATTTAGAGAATACAATTTAGAGCTGTAGGTATTCTCCCAAATTTTTCTTATGATCATGCTTTGAATTTGTTGAGCATTTCCCGTCTCTCTGACCGATTGACTGATATTTGTAAGGGATATTATCAGAAACTCAAGAAGAATGAGCACCTACTAAATCATCTGCAAACACTTGCGCCAACTCACCAATATCAACTAAGAAATAAACTGAAATATGCTTTGCCTCAAGTGAAAACAGAAAGATCAAAGAAATTTATAATTAATTATGGAGCTTTTAACCACTGGTAGATAATTCCTCGCTGCTTACTCTCCGTGATCAAATGCTGCTGAAATTGTAAAATACTGATATTCAATTTTTGTAAACTTGGATTGCTCTTTTTATCTTTTAAAATATGTAAAACTTGTAATATAATTAAGCTCCTTTTTCATATATATTTTTTAAGTAAATATAATAATGTCTCTATATAATAATATTTTAATAAATGATAATTCTTGTTCTATATTTTATATCTATTTTTAAAATTTCATATTTAAGTACTTTAATCTTTCATTTTTTGTTTATTTTATTTTTTTATATCTTTTTTATGTAATGTACCTTTTTGACCTATTTTGAATGTACCTGTCCTTGTTTTATTTTTGAATGTATTTAATTGTTTTGACTAATATTGTAAAATCCAATCTATATATTATTTTATGATTGCAATAAAGATGAATTTGAATTTATCTCCCCTTCTAACTTGGAATTATAATTCTAGTGTCTAAATGGTTAAAGAATACTTGCCATTTTAGACCTGGTAAGATTGTTCATTTAAGCTAATTTATAATTTAAGGTCATTAAATGAATAATCCGACCAGATTGTTCATTTAAGGTCATTCATTTAAGGTCATTTCAGGTCAAATATTGTATGACATCTTAATAATTACCTGTCATGTTTTACATCAGAATCAGTACTGAGCTCTCGAATTTCATTTTTTCTAGAAACTACAGTACTTCATTCAAGGTAATTTTGGCAGCCATCTTCAATTTCAAAATGGTTGTCGTG